TTGATGTACAGTGCCACTCCTCCCCCTGGAACCCTTTCCCTCCTCCCTCCCCCAACCCCAGACTTACCAGCTGGAGGCAGCTGTCAGCTGCCTGTTTAGTCTATGGCTGAATCTCTGAATTGGCCAAATCTTTTCCAAATTGATTTGGAGCTTTTACTTGGTCTCCCAATTCGATTTGAATTCAGAGATTCAGTCCCTGAATCAGGCCAAATCTCCTCCAAATTGAATCAGCTATCAAAGCTTTGAACAGCCCTACTGTTTACCTCTCCCCACTGCTTTTTTTAAGTTGGAGGGATGCAAACAGTATAATCACTTAATAAAAAAAACACACCTACAGCACCAGCACAGAAATCCATCACCCTGTTTCTAAAACATCAATCAGAGGACAAAAAGGAAATGAGGTATATCACAAGTACAAGGAGAAAGATGACCTTCTGGGATGCAAGATCTCCAGGACTAGTAGATAAGTCTATTATCAACTATCATAAACAGATTTTGCACTCAGATAAGAATCTGGCAGCTGAAAAGCTTATAGCCACAAAGGATGAGCATTTTCCCTGTTTTGCAGAGAGACTGCTGAGGCATAAAATATTTAATGCGACTTGCCAAAGGTCACACAAACTAGAACAAGAGGGCCCACATCTTTGGCAGCTGTCTCCCAAGATAAACCAGCACCTTCTGAGTGTTACTCTGATCCCCTTCACCTGTCTGATTTATAGGTCTGCTTTCTGCTCCCTACCTTATCTGGCACTGTTGCCTGCTACCTTCCTGATCTGCCATGTGTCACACACAGAGGCTGCCTGTGCCACTTACAGTAGGCTGGCCATCCCTGAACTAAAGGCAGGGAAACAATGCAGTTCTTCTAGGTTCTAGCCTCACCCTCAACCCACACAGCCAGGTATTAGAATAAACCTTCTACGGGTATGGAAAGCCAAAAATTATACTGAGGTAAAAGCAGGGGAAGAACTACAATGATTATCACAATTTGGTGATAATGGTTTCATGTGTCCACTCCTATCACACAATTTAGCTTCCACTTTCTATGGGAAAGGACAGGACACATGAAGCCATTGCCACAGAATACCTGACATAAGTCCTTCCCTCCTATGTTGTTTGTTCTTCATTTGTCCATATTGCATGATTGCCAAGTGCTTCTTCACAGTTCCATCTTTAAAGGAAGAGCGAGTTATGTTTTACCTAATGAAAATGTCTACAGCAAGCTGTACCATATGCCTCAACAAAGGCTTATTCAACAAGCCAGAGGCAGAGCTGGGAATGAAATAAAGGTGTGCTGAAGACTTACTCACTAAGCAACACTGCCTCCTGCATACAGAAGCAGAGTGAATGTTTATGTTTCAGGCCTTGGAAAAGCTGTACCTGTCCTTTTACATGCCAGTTACTGGGGAGCTGCAGATGGACACCAAGATAATACCTTCCAAACCGTCACCTTTCTTAATGCTTATCATTACCACCTGCTCTGGGCTTACAGAGAAACAATGGTAAAGAGGTAAACTGTCCAACTTTCCTGAGATTCTAAATAAAAAAGACCTGCTATGTCATCTTGCCCATCTCTTTTTTATTTTTGCAATTCAAGAACTGTCCCGCAATGGTTTTAGAGCACTTGGTCCAATCCAATTTACATTACAAGGCTACCGCCAATTTGCCTATTATAGAAGGAAAAGACCCAACAATATTAACAGTGCTGCCAATCTCCTCTAATCCTTTGTTACTGAAGGAAATATTTTGTATTTGTACTGCCTTGCAAGCTAAGGCCAATAAGCCATGCTTTTAAGAAAGAAAAGCTTTAAATATCTATCAATCCATTTCAGCAATTTGGTGTAGCTATTTAATTTTAGCTTCATCTCTCTGGCTTTTAGAATGCTGCATTAATCCTACAGAGCTAGCAGTACTGACATTCTCTGAAACCTAGTTAGTAAGTTAGAAAAAAAAAGATTAGGGGAGATGATCAAAGGGTACAAGGCATGCGATACAGATTACACCAGCCTAGAATTTAATCAGCACATGAATATCTGCATCCACCACTGCATTTGCTGAATCCATACGTGTTTTTGTTGAGTTCAAACAGAGACCACTACCAACACACACACACACAAAATTCAAGCAGGTGACAAACCCTGATTTAAGCCATGAATATTTTCAAACTGCTGTCCATTTTTCAATCCATCTCGTCTCTCTTTCCAGGCTACAGAACATTACACGAGGAACCCAGATGATTTATTTTAATATATGGCTGAGGTCATAAAATGTTAGGAACTAAATACATTATACAAATGAATAGAAATGCAGGAAGGAAGCAAACAGGTATTACCTGAAGAGAACCATTGCAAGCCGACAAGGAGGACAGGCAAGGAGAAAAATCTGAAATAGTAAAACAGAAAGTTAGTACTATAGTTAAGTTATTTTTCTACACATTTTTTTCCTGCTCTCCCAGGAAGCTTCAGTAAGTTAATTAGTACAGGAAGACCTGCATCTACCACTGAGTTTGCTGAAGGACTGTTTCAGATTACAGCAAAACTTTGCAGTAGAAAAAGGCTGACCAGCATGAACAAACCACAGGTTTCATATCACCCATGCAGAGATTTGAGCAGGAGCACCCTCTACAACTGAACTTCCCTCAAGCCCATGCAGCTTAAGTCTGAGGTCTCAACATACCTGTAGAGCCTTGTATTATAAAACAGCACAAGAGCTCGTGTCAAAGCAGATAACTACATCAATTAATTCAATCATGGTAGCTCCCAACAACCCCAGTGAAGCTCAGCACCATCTTGGGCTAAATACGTTATACGTTCCCATGCGTTTACAATGGCAAGCTCCACTTCAGCAGTGCAAGATCAAGCTCTTGAAGATCTAAGGTATCAAGGCTGCCCTTAACAGCTTGCCAAGGCTTACTAAATATGGTTACCTTGACATTTTCACTATGGATAACCTTCATTACCAGTCACCTTTAGGTATGCCAACTGGCTTGTCTAACTGCCCTTCCAAAGCCCTCGTATGAAATACAGCAGTAATTAGTTATTCATCACACAAGGCCAAAGGTAATGTAATGCCCCTGCCACAGTATGTGGTTGCATCTGCTGTTGGGCCACACACGTGCCAAACAAGATCTAGTTTGGATCTCTATGTAATGTAGAGATTAAACAGAGATGATATCCCTTACAACTGTGAGGGACTAAATAAAAATCCTCTAGTGTTCAAACCTCTTAATTCCAACTGGTCAGGTCTTTGAAGCAATACATCTTAAGCAGAATGCAAAATGAACACTTACACAAGCGTTGAGAAAACGAGTCCAGTATCCACTGCCTACAGCTGGCTACTGTAATAAACATGTATTATAAAAGCCTGGGACGGATCTTTAAAACAAATAAAAATAAAACTTCAGTTTTATTACCATGACCTACTGGAAAGGGTACACAAAGTGTCAGGGGAAATAAGAGCGTGCTTTCTATTTACTTAAAAGTAAGCCTGTCTCTATCACCCCCGCTTCCAAAGAGATGCCAGGTCTATTCAAACAAATGTACTTCTCTCTTCTGGTGCAGGGCATGCATTGTAGATGGACCTCACTGATGTTCAACTTAATTACTACCAGACCATGCTAGTGCTAAAGGAACAGCAACAGCAGAAATGTTAAAGTTGGTCCTTGCTTTGACTCTAAAGGATTCTTATCCTTGGTTCTGTGCACACAATTTGCAGAGCAAATATTTTGATTCTAGTACTTCTTAATATGGTTATTTACATGCGGCTAGATAAACAAACTAGAGGTGAACCGACATATCGGTTGCATAATGGATTGCCACCAATAAAAGCAAAAATTACATTATTGGCTATTGGCTTTTTTTGGCTATTGCAATCAATAATCTTCTCCAATAAATATAATCAAGTTATGCCTTCTGGCCAGGGCCCCCAGATGCCTGAGTTCCCTCAGGAAATGGCGGGGTTTCCCTTGCAGGCAGACAGCATTCTAGCCTGCAAGGGGTGCTTGCATGGGGCTGCTGGGAGCCAGATGCAGGGGGCACCACACATGTGCGCAGCCACACGCAAGCACGTGGCCAGGAAAACAGCCGGGCAGCATGGAGAATAGCTCCCTGCAAGCAAGTCTGTGGAGAGAAAGAGGCGTCAGGAGGGGCCCCCATGGTAAGGGAGGAAGTGGGGCAGGGGCTGGGGGCACTGCCCAGCCAAGGCAGTATATGCGACCCAGGGCCAGGGTGAGAAGCAGAATGGACCCACAGGGAGCTTGTCCAAAGAGTGCAGGGGGGGTGGCTCCCCACCACTGCGCACCCCCCCCCCAGGGAAGGCATGGGGGTGCATGTGCCCTCCCCCCCCGATTTGTGTACAGGGTGGATGTGGGCTGCTCGCTGTGGGCTCAGGGCTCTCCGCTTTGCTGCCTTTCCCTTGGGAGCCCCTTGCCAGCCACACGCCCCCTGCCCACCTGGCAGCAGTGAGGGTCCAAGTTGTGCCTCCCGCTGCCAGATGGGTAAGGGACGAACAGTCGGTGCAGGCCTCCCGGGGAAAAGGCAGCAGGGCAGAGAGCCCCAAACCCACAGCGGGCAGCCTGCATCTGCCCTCACCCTGCTCTGCTCTGCTCAAAAGCATCCCTGTCCTTAAAAATGGTGGCAGCAACATTTGAACTAAAGCTTATTTGACAAACTTTAGTTCAAGCACCCTCACCACCATTTTTAAGTACCAGAACACTGCTGGAGCGTGCCACAGAAAAAAGGTTTATGTCAGTACATTTTAAAGTACTGACAAACTTTTTTGGTGAGCTCCAGCAGCCTCCAGCAACACATTAACCAAATCGGTTATCAAATTGGTAATGGCCAATATGGCTCTTTAATAATCAGCTATCAGTATCGGCCATGAAAATCTTTATCGATGCACCCCTAAAATAAAGCTAGGTACTTACTACTTAAATGAAATATATCCATTACCATGTGCATCTGCAAAATATCCATCTCCTCTCCTCCCCCACAACCCCTGGACAAGTCATCAGGCAGAACTATAGTTGCTAAAGAGTAAGAAAAGGTACCAATTAAATTCAACTGAAAGCACCAAGGCATGTTCTTTTTGAGAGACCTCAGAATCAATAAGGACTTTTTACAGGACTTATATTAAAAAAAAAAAAAAAACAAGACTTGTAGTTTTATAAGGCCTGGATTAATAAGCAAAAGTGAATGCAATAGATGACTAGGAATAGCCCTCTAACTGATGCTTTGTATACAGAGGCAAAAAAGGAGTCGCACATCTCAGGCAAGATTTTTCATCATATCTGTCATATCACACAGCCCTGTAAGGTTCAAATGTGTTCAGCCTAGACAAGAAACGGAGATTCTGTAATGGATTACAGTTCACAGATCATTTTAGTGGTTACATAATAAACTGTCCACACCACAAAGCTACTGCTCAGAATAAACAGGATAAATAGTATAACTTTAAAGCTAGCTATGTGGGCTTCAAAAAAAAAGATCTCTTAGGGCAACTGAGACTAGAAAACTGGGACTTCAACTTGAAAGTACATCTAACACTTGACGTAAAAAAGACCTTTATCAGATGGCAGTTGTAGATCTCTTTTTTTCTGATGACCATCTAAGTAGGAAGTAGCATTATATGCAAATAAAATACTGAACTGAAAAATCTTTGAAGCATTCAAAATCCAGACTCAAACCTGAACCTTGCACTTTAGTTACAATAAGGGATGCTCCCAAAGGGCTTGGGCATTTGAGAAGTCTTCTTTTAATATGATAGTTTGTGACTGAGAAATTTTAGATCTTCTGACAAAGTTTTTATACCACTTGACTAAGTTCTATCTTGTGTTAAAGACTCATAAATTCATACATGTTAGGGGCTGGAGGGGACTACACGAGGTCATCGGGACCCCCCATACTTGGGCAGGAAAGACTGCTGGGGTTATCTGACGTGCGCATCAAGGTGTTTTTTAAAGCGCTCCGCGGTAGGTGAATGTACCACCTCTGGGTGGAGTCTGTTCCAGACGCTAGTCACTTAAAACGTAAAGAAGTTTCCCCTTATATCCAATCTGAAGCGATCTTCAAGCAGTTTGTGTCCATTGTTTCTTGTCTTCCCCTGGGGTGCTTTGGTGATCAGATGCTCCCCCAGGCCCTGATAAATGCCCCCCCCCTTTTTTTTTTTTTTTTTATAGGCCACCACCAAGTCCCCTCTAACTCATCTTTTCTCCAAGCTGAACAGTCCCATCTTTCAGCCTCTCCTCACATGACCTGCTCTCCAGACCTCTAATCATGTGTGTGGCCCTCCTTTGGATTCTCTCAAGCTTCTCCACATCCTTCCTGAAGTGCAGGAGCACCCAGAATTGGATGCAGTACTCCAGCTGCAGTCTCACGAAGGCCAAGTAGAGCAGGAGGATGACATCCTTAGCCTTGCTTGAGATAAAAAAAATCGGTAAATGCATAACAGTGTTTGGTTTGTTCTGCCAGCTACGGCATTACAATGGTGGCTCTTGTTTATTCTGTGGTTTATCATGACCCCAGGTCTCTCTCACTTGTGGTGCTGGCAAGTGTAGCACCGCCAGGCCTGTAAGTGTGTTGCAGATTATTTCTCCCCAGATGGACCACTTTACATTTCTCAGTGTTAAACATAATCAGGTTTTGATCTGCCCACCTTGCAAGCCTGTCCAGGTGAGCTTGTATCCCCAGCCTGTCCTCAAGTGGGACCACACTCCCCAGTAATTTGGTGCCGTCCACAAACTTTGCCAGTATGTTTCTAACACCTGAATCCAAATCATGATGAACATGTTGAAAAGCACTAGTCCGAGTACTGAACCCAGAGCAATGCCAACTGGTCACCCTCTACCACACTGACTCAGTTTCACACACCACACAGCAGCCTCACCGGCATTCTCAGAAGAAATTTCCAGGAGTTCAGGTGAGGCCAAAAATTAAAACTGGTTATAAAGACCACAGTATGTGTCACTAAAGTTCAAGTGCACACACACACAGCTATGCAGCTGAGTTGACATGGCAAATCTACAAATATTGAGCTTTCTACATTAGCATCCTGAAAGTGTTGTCTTTGGTACCTTTCCCCACGCACAACAGAGTTAAGTTTTTTTCACACTGTTTTTAAAATGGGCGTCACCAGCTGTTTCCTAATACATTTATCTTGAACATTTAAAAAAAAAAATCAATGCAAATGGAAACGTTAAAGAGTGGAAAACACATCGCATTAGAAACTTAGGGCATTTATACACATGCTCTGGGAGTGCAGGGGGAGCTGCTCTAATTAAAGCACTTGGAGCATCATGTGTATCAGTGTCCTCGTGCTGAAAAATGGCAGCAGGGTGCTTTAACTAAAAATTAGAACAAGCCATTTTTCAGTGCAGGGACACTGAT